AAAAAAAAAAAAAGAAAGAAAAAGCAATAAACCTAGTAGAATCCACAATGCTTTGGCCCAATTTTGTTTAATTGTTGTAAGACTTAAACCTTGAATTTGGTGAAAATAAAGAAAGAAAAAATGAGATCATACTCACTTCAATACAAAATTTTACAGTTGGGTAAAATGAATGATATTTAAGAAAATATATATGACTATATGAGTTCAGACTCATCTCCTCCAATTGCCAGCAAAACCATCCAACCTTCATCTCCTCTAATCTGGCGATTACAGTCGTTGGCAACCACAAATCTTAAAACTCGAGTTGTGTGATGCAGAAAGCTGCAGTGGTATAAGAGAAAGAACAAGAGACTTGATTTGTGGTGATTCAGATTTGGTTTTGTGTTGAACAACATGAGAGCGAATTTGAGAATGACAACAAATTGGAATTAATGGGAGAAATAACAAATTTGGGAAAAAGAAGATTCATCACGTCGAAGATAAAAAATAAAAAATCAAACAATAGGAAATGGTATGTTAGGCTATATTTCGTTCACTATATTCCTTTCTCATATGATCCTAAATCTACAAAATTCTACATAGCTAGTGATGCCATCTTATAGCTCCATAGCAAACCTGCCTTAACTTATATACACACACATATACTCCCTCCTTTTTTAAATAAATGTCGTTTTGACTTTTTTGATTCATCCATTTTGCTATGTATCTAGACATATTAATGTCTAGATACATAGCAAAATGGATGAATCAAAAAAGTCAAAACGACATTTATTTAAAAAAGGAGGTAGTATATTTTATCATTATACTATATATCGGCTCCGTTGTTTATTCTAGTTTCAGCCCCTATTTGCCCACCCTACTCAGAGCGATCAACTATTGTCCATCATAATGAACAATAACAAAATACATTTCACTGATCCATTTATCAGCAGTCCTTTCCAAAATAGCTTCATCTTGGGAATATTGAATCGAATGAATCAAGAACTAGTTTCCCTTCACGAATGTCTGTTATTCATTAACACACATTAGAGATATAAACATGAATGAACATATACTAATCAAGCAATAGTTCTAGAAATTAAGGTACTACCCAATATGTCCAAATTCCAGAGAAATTAAATAATTGCATAACATAGGAATTGTACAAGGTGACTTCAAGGGAAATCAAGAACATGAACCTAAGTCTTAACTGCCTAGTCGATCTCTGAATAGTTTCCACCAGGCAATATGTTGCAATCAGTGCAAATGAACTTAGAGAATTACCTCAATCTAGGCAAAACAATCGCGACTTGAAGCACCTAAAACCTCCCGCCCTCCTCATAACCAGAAGCATGCAAGGAGACATACTCAACCAACATTTCCCACATCCGAAATATCCACCACGCCGATACGCTCATTTTCTGGCAAAACCGACCAATTAGGAGATTGCACTGCCCTTAACCATCGAAAATCATCCACATTCATCCAATTCCCAGTCTCCTCACTAAGATGTGCCTCCATCAGATCCTTCTCTAATCCCTCGTAACTCAAACAATAAGGAGCAACCCTAACTCCACAACTATCCTCGATAATCGGCCTACTCCTTACCCGAAGATAAAAATCACAACTTTTCGCATTATGGATCCTGATTTGATGCGAAGCCAACACAAACACACACCCTTCAGCTCCCTCGATCAGAACCGATCCCATCACTGCACCTACGTACACCTTACAGTTCTTCAATTTATCCATGAAGAATGCTCTTAGATGCCCCTTCAATCTGACTTCACAGTCCCTCAAATTCGACAGCGTAAATTCTACATTTTGTCCCTCTGGCTCGTTGCTGTCGAATTCTTTGGCTAACACCTCGTTTTCTCTGTTTCTAAACCCAGGCCCGACAATCAAATCCCTAAACCCTAACTTCTCCAATCCCGAATTCAGTTTTACCTCGGGTTCTGAGACGACTGCTACATCTTTTCGATCGGGCAGTGCGGTGGCTTTTCTGGATGTTTTGTTCTTGAACGAGAATTTTTTCTTCGGGATGACGAGGGCGGTGACCTCATCGACAGATTGCTTGAGCTGCCCGACGGCATTGAGGCAGTTGCGAACTTCGTAGGGGGGCAGAAAGTAGGAATTCTCGGCGACGAGCTTCTCGAGGGCGGAGATATCGAGTGAGACTGCTTCCAGATCGGGTTTGCGGGTCGGATCTGGATCTCGACGGATCTCGGAGATTCGTGATTCGATGTGGAGCTTAGACTGCGAGAATTGGGCGAGGAACGATTGCGTGGACTCGAATGTCGACGCTGAGGTGGAATCCGGCTTGCCGGAGAGGCGAGAGAGGTGGCGGTTGGAAAGGCGCTCCAGCATCGCCGCGCGCTTGCGCTCGAGGGTTTCATCGACGGCAGCCGCTGGAGGTTGTTTGGTTTCATCCATTTTGCCGCGGCGGAAAGGAGCGTCAATTTTTGCCTTTCGGTGGTTAGTTTAATTGTCATATATTAAATATTGTAAATAGTGTACCAAAAAAAAAAAATATTGTAAATATGTATGAATTTTATATTTAAAACTCCATAAACTTTTTATTTGTATTTTATTTTTTATATATGATCAATTAAAATAAATATATTTTAACGATATTTGATTTGACATTCATATTGCACATATAAAATAAAAAAATAATTCATCTATATTTATAAATAAATCAATTTTCTTATCAACTCAATTTAAAAAACATCTTATAGTAACATAAATTCATTTATAATAAAATAATAAAAATATAATTCAATAATACAACATAAAATAATGATTTTATTGTTTTTTTCCATAAATTTTGGATAAAACTATATAAAATAAGTTTTAAGAAATATTATTTCTTAATTCAAATAGATTATATAAAAAATGGAATGTTATTATGCTATTTAAAATAGTAAGTATAAAGAATTTCTACATAAATTCTAAATTATTAATTATAAATACTTGAAAACTTAATAAACGTGAGACATTGATTTTATCAATATGACTATCACAATACAATAAAATTCGTATTGTTACAAAGAACAAACCAAATATATAAAGTTGTAAATAATATCAGTTTTATACATATATATTTTTAACATATAATTAAAAATATATCATTTTTGGCAAATTTAGTGTAAAAGTACGGGCACTATTTCAATTAATTATCACTTTATTAATTATTTATTGTTGTTTCATATTCATCATATATAATTTCACAATAAAAATGTAAATTATTTTAATTTTTATTATACAAATATTAATATATTTAAGTACTCGTATAGTACATGAGTAATGTACTTGTTATAAGTTATTAACATTTTAAACACTTTAAATATAATATTAGTTATAGATGAATGCGGTTAAAATCACAATTGTTATCCTAATTATTGATTACTAGTAGAGATGTAAATGAGTCGAGCGGCTCGAGTCAAAGCTTGGCTCGAGCTCGAGTTTGACTGAACTCATGTCGAGCTCGAGCGGCTCGAGTATGTTATCGAGTCGATTTCGAGCCCAAATTTTCAAAGGTCGAGCCGCTCTACATGTGGTAAAATACTTAATACCCTTTATATATGTATGTAATTCACATAATTGTCATAAGTGCATAATTTATACTCTCTCTATTTTAAAATACGTGTCATTCTAGAATAAAAGAATAAAATTACGTTTTTTAAGGAATTTGTTATCTTACCATATGCTATTAGATTTTTCTAAATCTCCTAATGTATTTAAAATTTAAATACATTTTTAATAGTTATCTCTCTCCTTGTCGGTTTTATAGTTATACCGAGCATTAAAAATAAACAACCATGAACTGAACCTACATAATTTTAGGATTTGAGGAGTACTTATCCAACCAATTAGTTTATGATTATCTAAAACTACAATAAATAAATAAACGGAATTACACACTTAAACGGAATATATTTTAAAACAGAGGGAGTAGTTGTTAAAGTTCGAGCCAAACTCGAGCCGATCATGAACATTTCCATTTGTTTCACGAGTCGAGCTCAAGCGTCATTTACATGACTCGTCGAGCTCGAGCTCGAACAATGAAAAAAAAAAATCGATCTATGCTCGACAAGGTCCATGCTCGGGTTGGCTCGTTTGCTAGTCTTAAGTCGTCGTTATATATATTCTTATGATATCTAAAAATAGTAGCATTTTGTTTTGGAGTCATATTTTGCGAAGAATTTACAAGTTAATTGTGAATACTTTTACAGACGGAA